TTTTTTTTTTTGATAATCGTGGGTGTCCAGACCAACTTATTTGCACCTCGTCTAATCCCACGATACCTTGAAGCTTACGGTGGAGTACTCATCTTAGTGGCCCCAAGAGGACTCGAGCTAATGATCATTGAGGAGCAAACTCAAAACTTGATCAATTGAACAACCCCTCAAGGTTTCCTTCTCCCTCTTTAAACACAAAAACTCAAACCACATCCTTTTACCTCTATTCTCGATCCCAATTTTTATATTCCTTTCGTCCCATAAAGATAAACTTGTTTTTCTTTTTCATGTCTCAAATTATATGTTACTTTCTTCGTTAATAATATAATTGATTTTTTAGTTTTTTAATATATTCCTATTTAATGTGTTTTGTTATCGACAAATATAAAATATTCATATTTAAATCATTATTTAATGTTGGAGTATAATATAAAAAATGAAAGAAAATTTTATATTTTCAACTATATATATATATATATATATATATTTATTTATTTATTTTTTTAATTTCTACAAGTAATGTTTGGAAAAAAAAATTAAAACAAAATCATTTTAAGGTTTTCATCTTCTTCTGCAAATTGTAAACTTATCTGCACACAAAGACGAAAATGGACATCCATCCCACGTCAATATTGTGGTGCGACTCGTAAAAATCCAAGATGCCACCTGTTTAATATTCGCAGCCGCCACCTGTCCCGCCGCCGGAGCCAGGCACCCATCTACTCAAACTGAACTCATCAGATCGACCGTACCTCTACACTTGACCCAGCTTTTCCGGAGGATAGTTTCTCTTAAATTTTCATAGTAAACCAACATATAATTACCATAAAATATACTTGAAATCATGCCTTGGTTGAGAAATTTCATCCAATTGTCCGCCAATTTCACGAGGCAATCATCAGTTAAACCGACATTTACACCACCATCACTAACTCGGTTATTGCAATTCAGCACCGAGTCTCAGTCTCCGGCGACTGTTGATAATTCCACTAATAAATATGCTGGGATGGGGCTCACCAAGGGGGGCGAGAAGCCGAGGGTGGTGGTATTGGGTTCAGGATGGGCCGGGTGCAGGCTTATTAAGGACATCGACACCAAGATCTACGATGTCGTTTGTGTATCACCGAGAAACCACATGGTGTTTACTCCTCTATTAGCTTCCACTTGCGTTGGCACTCTCGAGTTCCGGTCTGTTGCCGAACCCATTGGAAGGATCCAGCCTGCAATTTCTCGTGAACCCGGTTCTTTTTTCTTCCTTTCTAACTGTACCCGTGCAGATTTTCAGAACCATGAGGTACTAAAATCTTGTTTACTGTATTGCTGAACACATAAAGAGTATCTTTTTTTTTTCACCTTTTTTATGGAGCAATACGAGATTATGCCCATAGTTATAGGACTGGTATTAACCTTTTTCTCGATGCATGACATAAAGTGAAAGAACCCTATACCATTCGTTAGCATAGGTTAAAAGGATGGGTGATTCCGTAAAAATTGAAATTTGAATTAGTATTATTTTACTCTCTGAGATACACCACTTTAGGAATGATTCACATTATTGAAGACTTTGAGAAGGTATTATGATTAGTATCATGCAAAAAATTGCTTGTAGCTAGCTACACATCAACAGATCCTGTTCAACTATACTTACAAGAAAAATGTTAGAATGCTAAGTCACTGGAAGGGAGATGCCGACCGGAAGCATTCCAATGCCCAAGTCAGTTTTTTCAGTAGAAATATGGAATTGAAAGAGTTTTTGACTAATAAGTAGTTGGAAGGGGGATGCCGACCGAAATTTTGACAGAAAGAGAGGTACCTTTTACATAATTTTGGAAAAAGAAGACTTAATTTCATTTTTCTCTCCAAAAAATGGGATGGTATACTAACTGGGTTTTCACAATCTACACAAGGTAATAAATGTTCACAAATCACGAAGGAATTATCAAAAAGTCTTAAAAGTGAAGGGACGTTATGAAAATAGGACTCAACTTTTCAAAATTCTTAAAATTAACCTTACCGTACTTAAAATCTTAAAAATACTGTTATCATCAGGAATGATCTAATGAGCACCATTTTATTCACCGTGGAACCCACCATGTGAGTATCAGGATTCATCTGGTAGATGAATAGTTCTGTACAAGCAGAATAATTCTTTGACTAATAAGTAGTTGGAAGGGGGATGCCGACCGAAATTTTGACAGAAAGAGAGGTACCTTTTACATAATTTTGGGAAAAGAAGACTTAATTTCATTTTTCTCTCCAAAAAATGGGATGGTATACTGACTGGGTTTTCACAATCTACACAAGGTAATAAATGTTCACAAATCACGAGGGAATTATCAAAAAGTCTTAAAAGCGAAGGGACGTTATGAAAATAGGACTCAACTTTTCAAAATTCTTAAAATTAACCTTACTGTACTTAAAATCTTAAAAATACTGTTATCATATCTTCTTCACACTGCTACTGCAACCACTTCAACCCCTGCACCCTCATACTATCCACCTGCGTCCGACACCCCCCAACATCCAGCCCAGCCACCTGCCAATGAGCCATGATAGAACACCATCAGAGGAAGACTTGTGTGTGATTCTTTGAAGAGAGTTAAAAGTGGGGGTCCATTCGGCCCGACGGTTGTTAATTTGACTGGTTGGGGTCCATTTAATTATTTAAAAAAGACAAAGCCCTGGAAAGATAATGAAGACATTTTAGATAAAAACGTTGTCTTTTAAAATAGAATAAGAAGGCCATTTAAAAAAAAATCAATTATTTCTTATATAGTAGAAAGGGAGCATACGTGTAATGTGCCCTTTCATGTTTTTTCATTCTCTTGTTCAGAAATCTGTTTCTTTGGAATTCTTATATTCCAAGCCAAAGACCATGGACACCATCAAACCTATAATACAAATGCATATAATAAGTTTTGTATCTGTATTTGTTAGTGTTAATCTTTTCCAATGGGGATGATATTCCTGACTCTAATTGACACGTTCATTTAGTTGAAATACCCTCGCATTCACTCATAATACTAGGAAAATATTACGAGTAAAAAATATTTTATGAACAAAATTTCTTTAATGTAAAATCTCTAAACATGTAGCCTAGTTTCAAAAATTAAATCTTACAGTATATACTCAAGTTGGTATGCTCATAAGACACATTCTATAAGAACGTGACTTATTCCTATAAGTTCACTTCAATAAAGCTAATTTCATGAATGTGTCTAACCAACCTGAAAATATTTTCCTAAAAGTGTATTTTTTGAATAAGACATAGCAATAAGACCATTTTTGCTACATCAAGATTATTAATCTTTGTTCCAGGGGTGGTTGAAAGTTAGCAACTCAATAATGGATCTGGAAAATACAACCTATTCGGGTTGTAATACATTGGTTGCAACCTTTGGCAAAAGTCATCCTAACCTTTCAAGTTTGTGAACATTAGTCCAAGTAGACGGTTTCTGTCCACTTTACTGTTATAAAGAGGCATGGCTTGCGTACACCACTTTTGATGGCTAAATTAGGAGAACTCTTACTTCCAGTGAAAATTTTTATAAATAGATACGTAAAAAGAATAAGAAAAAAAAATGTAAACATCATTCTTGCCAACCTCTCCACCGTCGCCACCTATTCCTCCCCATTCTCCACCAGCATTCAATGCCACCACCACTATCCCACATTCCCATTCTCCCATCTATTTCTGCC